TCGTCTAGAGATTTATAATTATATTTCCTTGCTCTTTGTTGTTACAAGCCCTTCAAAAATAAGAAATTAAAAATGACAAAAATCGATCTGAAACAGCTGAGAAGTATTGTCAACACAATCTCCACATTGGTAAGATCTGAAAATGTTTCCCTTATTAATTTCTTGAGAAAGATTTACTATGTTAGGCAGACTGTCTCATTTGCTCACAAGCTTTCAAAACTCTAGTTCTACTATATTCAAATTCCTCATTTCCCTTCAACTTAGTGACCACCATTAACAGTCCACTGTATTTTTCACTGCCCTTATGTTTTTGCCTCAAGCTTTAACTGATTATATTCTTTGATTTCCTTATGCTGGTGTAGAGCCCTTTTTATACAGATCTTAAAAGCGACACTAGCTGCTTTTTGTTCCTCGGGTTTTTTGTTGTTTTGTTTTTTTTTTCCCTTCAAGATAATTATATTCTGTTGTGCCTTTTATTATCGTGTCTTTTAGGATCTCCTAACCTTGTACACTCTTGGGCTTTATTTAAGAGTGAGCTCCCTCCTCAACTCTCCACACTAAAACATGCTCATTAGGTTTCTTAATCCTCCATAATTTGCTTTCATGAAATCTTATACCTTTGAGTTGCTGTGTTCTATGAGCCCATTTCCTTAGTAGAGCTATTCCAAGCAGCCCAGAATCAACAAGCACTAAACATAAGCTTATTCACTTTCTCAGCCAACATGACTCTACAGAAGAAAGAAAAAAAAAGCCTTTATTTTGAATGTTTATGAACCATGAAACGATACCATTTTAACTTGATATTTCATTTTCTCATCCAAACATCACCTGAGAAGGTTAAGAGCACAGAATTAGACTCCAGGCAGTCCTTAACATACAGTTATTAACTAACTTCTAGGCTTCAGGTTCTTCTTGGTCAGAAAACTGTTCTATGTTAATAAAACAGAAATAACACCATCCTGATGTTACGTAGTGACTGGTAAATCCCAATTACAGCTTTGCCTTATACCCAGTATTGAGGAGAAGAGGAAAACATCTTTTTTCAGTTACTCTGCAAGAGCTCTGCTTTTCCAAATGGGTTGTTTTTAAAAGACGTGTGCGCGTCCCTGAAACCTGATTGCTCTGTCAACTCTGCTCTCCTCAGCAGCTCATCCCCTGCGTTCTCTTCCATTCTACTCACCACGAGCACCTTTGTTAATGGACATGTACAAAAGGGCAAAAAGAGCATGTATTTTATTTTTGATTGTAACTTCTTTTGGTTAAATTTAAAAACGAAAACAACAACAACAACAACAACAACAACTTGGTGCTGAATTGAAAGAGTTAATAACGTTTCCAGAGGCGCCTCTAAGTTATTCAAGCAAAGTTTACACTTCAGCCCTGTCCATGTTAACTTTTGATCCTCCCCATCCAGATGATAGAAAGCAAAGCCAGTAATTTCTTTATTTAATTGGTTTGCATCCACACACTGACCTCCAGGGCTCTGTTTACATAGCCTATCACGCAGTATGTTCCACAGTTCCCTGTCTCTTTCAAAAGCATGTTTCTCCTGAGATTTGATATATAGCTTTCATGTTTAATCACTACATTAAACTCAATGCTCTGCTGCCCCCAGCATCAACTAACTTCCCTTCTTGGGAGGTGGGGAGAAGAGCACAGCTTCTTGCTACTTCTGAACATAAAAGGAAGTCTGTTTTACTCTATTAGTAAAGTCACCAACTACACACGATTGCAGGCAAGCAACATTAGTGCATCAACGAGGAAACAACTCCTTGAGAAAGAAGGTAGGTTGATTGCTCTCAGTCAGCAAAGCCGAAAACTTGAGGTGATTGAGTTACAAATCAACAGAAACAGAGTTTAATCGGTATATACCTCAGGACACAGAGGACACAGCTAGATGGCAGCTACCGTGTTAATCAAATTAACTTTGAGGACAGAACATTCTTGGGGTTCTTGGATCAGAATTAATTCAGTGCCACTACCTTCTGGTTGAAGGTTTTGTTAACCTTCACCACAAATAGAACTTTTGATGTCTCTTTAACTAAATGTGGACATGGTAATGCCCTGATCCTTTCCATAAGAATCTGTATGTGACTCGAATTTCTGAGACAAATGAAAACTTCGAAAAAATAGTTGATCTCTTTCATTAAGTCAAGGTAATCTATAATCTTCAGGCTTTTAAAGTGACATGAAATGTATGTATTTTACTTTAAAATAGTTCAAGCAAAAAAAGAAAAGTGAAATGAGTATGGCAAATTATTAACAACTGTAAAATCTAGATGATGGATATGTGGATATTCATTATACCACACTCTATTTTTATATATAGTTGAAATATTTCATTATAATTTTTTGAAACTTAAAAAAAAACACAAGCTGTTTGTGGGTTTGCTCTTATAGAAAAAAGTTGATACAGTTTTGAGAAAAAAATGAAATCACTCTCTAGGTTGATTGCTTGGGTATGTATTCAACAACTGACATTTTTCACCATGTGCTGACAATGAAAACTTTCCTTCCTCCCTCCTGAAGCTCACTCCACAGTCAGAAACTCATTTACACAAATTGCAAATGTGCAGTAAGTTCTGCATAAGCTGGGTTCTTTATTTGGGAGGGGAGATATATATATATATATAATATATATATATATATATATATATATATATACACACACACACACACACACATATATATATATATATATATATAAAATGTTACTTTGAAATCCTTTCCTTTATGGCCAGTCATTAACCATACTATTTATTTTTTAAGTGTTTTTTTTTCCTTTGCAAGATTGACATTTTCCTTCATGTAAAAATCTTATACTTTGTCAGGAACACTGTTATAGCTGTATACAACATTAAGCAGAGCTAGTTTACTTTCTGTGTTTGATGAACAATAGAAAATCTGAACCTATTAAAGTCATATATTTAATTGTTCCAATATGCCATCTTATTTCTAACCAAATCTGCATGATATAGCATGCCAAAGAACACAGTTCTAGCTTCCTTTGTCATGATTCCCTCATCTGATACTAAGCTAAAAGAGCTTATAAGAAAACATAATTACCTGTTTCTTAATTTGAAACCATCTGAATTCTTTCCACAACATATTTAAATTTGAAATTAAAAGAATAAATAAACTTTTAATCAGTATTCCCCATAAGATTTTTCAGAGTACAGAACTTCGTAGTTTTCAAAGACATGCAGATGTTGTCCATCATAAACTTTTTTTTTTTTTTTTTTAAATTAGGACTTGGAGAAAATAAGAATCATGAACAAAAAATGTTTGGTCACCAGAGTGAAAGACGTGTGTCTGTACAGATGTTATAACTATCACTACGGGAATTTAGCAGCACGCTTTCATTTGGATTTGCAAATTCAACATAAATTTTCTGACTTTGACAACTGCTGCCTAATATTTCAATTCTGTACACTATTTCCAGGTTTTACTTTCAAAATGAACTTGTTGGACTTTTTCGTTTTTAAGAGCTATGTACCAGATCCTTTACTCTAAAACCAGTTTCTGACCTGATGTTTAGGGAATTAAATCGGATCATAACGAAGTAGGATCTTAATAAATATTTGGTAATACTGGTAATGATATAAAAAGATCCAACTTTTATGTAAAAAATTCATATGCCATCAATTTTCTCCATTTATTTTTTTATTATACTTAGAGATTTTAATATTTAAGAAATGACAAAGACTTCTCACCCTATTTTGAGTCACCTCTTATGAATCAATAAAAGGTCAAATCATTGATACAATGTCACCATGCCTTTAGTCTCCATTTAGTCTCTATTGTAAACCAGTAATGTTTATTTATGCTCTCACTGTCAGATGTGATTCAGAAGCCCAAACACACAGAATGGACAGATTTCTGGAACCAGGGTTCTCAAATGAGGTGAAATTGTTAACTCAAATGTACAGAACACAGTTTGTGTCATATTTAAAGAGTCTCACCAAGTTGGAGACATTCATAAAGGTATACAATAAAAGAAAGATGAAGCTTTTAAAGGAGAAAAGCATGTTAGCACCTTAACGTCATGACCAAAAAGAATATATATGGTCTTCAGGTCCTTTGTGAACATAATGAACAAAAACTTTTTTTTTAAGTTAAAACAGAATGGAACTCAAACCAGTGTAAGAATGTTACTGTCAAATTCAATAAATTATATGTTTCTTTGCAAATTATTTTCTCCTGAAACTGAAAAATCAATGTTTATTTATCTATTAACAATTCACTAAATGGCATAATTTCTTTGTATAAATGAGACAATTTTTGTGTTTTAATTATAAACACCATTTGACACCCTGGAGCACATAAATCTCAGCAAATGACATAAAGACACAGTCCAACCTAAGGATTATATGGCTACATTCAGGCTTAATGAAAAGAACATCTAATGAGGTTGATATGCCATTGTTTCTGAAAATGTAAATTTTTTCCTGATAGATGCAAAATAATGGCTTCAGGTGACCTTAGTTTTCCATTCCCCCCCACAACAAAACAAATTTTTTAAAAACTAACAAATCGTAGACAAATTTCTATTTCTATTGGCTTAAACTCTTTTTAGTTTTCTGGATTAGTGCTTGCTTCAGCAGCACATAAACTATAGTTTGCTGGATTAAATGTATTTATTACCCACATTTGATGACAAGTCACTTGCACATAATCTTCAATCATTCAGGATGCCTTAGCTACTTAGAGAATAATATTCTATTTTGAGCAATAAGTATGTAAACTCTTACTTCTGCTTTTAAAATGAAACTTGGCAGATAGAGGGCATTGAAGCCTTATTGCAGAACTATCAAGAATCCCAAAGTGAACATCTCCGGTTAGGATTCCAAGCAGCCGATAGCCAGCCTTGGGTGCGGTTCATGTTTTGAGAGGCTGCCTCATCTGTTTAAAATCAAAAAGGTTCTTGGTCTGATGAGTTACTCCTCAGAGAATAATGTAAATAAAATACACTCAGAATAACATTACTAATGTAAACATACCTGAGCCGGAGTCAAACTTGCTTTCTGACCTGTAAAGAGAAAGAAATTTTTCACAATAAAAAAATTGCTTATTAAAGAGCAACTGTTACTTTGCGGGAGGGGAACCAATAGTTAGACCGACAAGGAAAATCGCTTTTAAAATGTAAATACCTCATCTATTTTAACTATTTTAGATGTACACATTATCCTAAGTCCCCTAAACATGCACATTACCTGTAGAGACAGCACAGTATGAAAAAGATAGTTAACTTTTTAACTTGTTTTGAGAGGAGGATAAATTATGGATCAAAAAAAAAAAAAGGCAGATTAACTTGTTTCCGTAATATAATAAAGCAATAAAAAACTCAAATTTAAATTTATCCTCTTTCTTATTATTAAAGATTTTCAATTATTCAATACCAAGTAATTTTTCACTAAGTTCTTCGCCCAGTAAATGAACCTAGTCACTCCATACATTTAATAAGAAGGAGGAAAAAAAAAAAAACCCGAGCTCTTGTGGGAACATTATGTTTCAGATATAGGTTAATACTGGTTGTAAATTCAGAAGCCTTTGAAGCTCTCAGTTCGGCTGTGGGAAAACTTCTGTTGGGTAATTACTCCCAAGATGCTGCTGATGTGCTGTCAAGCAGAATTAACCCTATGACTAGGCCTATCTACACAGGCTACTATAAGACAGCATTGTCTATATCTAGCTCTCAAACCAATTAGTGGGCATGCTCCGGTCGGATTTATATCACACATTAACAATCAATAGTATATATGTTCACAGCTGCCACAGCAAGATACAAGAACCCACCAGCAGGAGTCCTGTTAAGGGATGTTACATTGACAGAGAAGATTTTTTTTTTCCTGGGGAAATGTAGTTAACTAAGTGGGAAAGGAGAGTTCTTTGAAATTATGCCAGGGTACCAAAGCACTTTTGGAAGCAGTGGCTTTCTTTACCTAAATGAGTTTCAAGGGAAGTCATCAAAGGGGAGAAGGAGAAAGGAGAAGGGAGAAGCAGTTTCCTTTGTCATAAAAAGCCATTTTTCTCAAGTATTCTCAAGTATAGTTTCACCTGATACTTAAACTAAGTCAGTAACTATTAAAAAAAAAAAAAAGTATTATGACCACCATGGTTATCAATAACCAGCGTTGTAAGCCAGGTGCACATTTCCCCCAAGCCCTGGCTAGTCACAGTCCTCCTCTCAATCCTTCTCTGACCCATCTCTGACCAGTATTTCAGCTGTAGACCATTTTTGGTTTTTGTTCTCTCTCCTGCTGTGGAAAGCCCTGCCCTGGGTCCTCTTCCTTGTTCCCAGCATCCCTGACCCCAGTCTAAAGGACACTTGCCCCACGTCCTCCTGGTTTCCTTGCCTGGCTTCCCCCTGGTCACAGCACGTACACAGTGCCTGGTGCTCGAACACAGCAACTGTCTGCTGAGGGGCACGTCTGCCTCCACACACAGCCTTCTCACCTGCATTGCAGGGGTTCTTCCTTCTGTCTAAGCTTCCCTCCACTTCTGTGCTAAAAGGCACTCTCTCATCCGGCCTGACACCAGGCTGTGTGAGTGACTCCTCTTCTCTGCTGTCTCTTTGATCGCGGGTTTCTATAGGTTTCTCCTCCTGTCTTCAGAGAAGTGCTTGGGAATGAAATAAAGGTCCTCTTTCAAGTTGGTGCCCTACTTTCCTGCGCTTGCAATCAAGTATATGGAAGGGAGAAACTACATCCTCTGCCTTCCTTACCTACATCCTGTAAACTACATCCTCTGCTGTGTCTTCCTTTCCTGACCTCCCAACAGATTCACTCTTTGAGCCACTACCATGTGTCCTTGCTAAAGTTTATAAGTGGCTTCCTATCGCTAAACCCAAAAGCCCTGTTACAGTCCCGACTTTACTACACCTCTCTCCAACTAACAAGTGACGCTACCTGAAGGTTGTCCTGGGACCCCAAATGGTGTAGGTGCTAAGCTCAATTCAACTTCTTTTCCCTCAAATATAATTCACTGCAATATAGCACTGAAACTGGATATCATGACATTGATCCAGTTTTCTTCTGCACCCCCAAAACCACACTGGTCACCAAGACCTGTTGATTCTACTCCCTTCCCCTCCTCTCTGTTCTCACCCTTACCATCTTTGGGCCTATCGTTGGCTCAGAATCTCATAAATAGGATCATGCCCTCTCTTCCAGTCTATTATCCCAACAGCTGCCAGAAGTTTCCAAAACACTAATCTGATCATATTACTACCACCCCCAAAACGAGTGCAGAGCTTTCCAAACGTGGGTCACAAATTGACCCATTGGTGTATTATAAAATTCATTTAGTGGATTACAAGTAGTATTTTTTTTAAAACTGAATTAGAATAGAAAAGAAGACAAACGCACTTCACATAGTAAGAGTATTAAGAGTATGTGCAATTCTGTGCAAACTTGAGGGACATGTATGTGCATTTGTGAGTGTGCATGATCGCACATGGGTGGGCTATGCAGGACCATCCTGACAAGTGAGCAAAAAGCCTCTGCTCAGGCCTTCCTCTGACTGTGTGCTCCCGTCCACAAGGCAAGGAGTCCCTTCTTGAAGCTCCCTTCCCTGAAGCTCCAAGTACCAAGGACCCCAGCATTGTCCAACCAAATAGCCCTTAGCTGGCTTCCTCAGCCTGGATAGGCCCTTCCAGGCAGGTTGTGTTTCCAGTGTGTGTGTGCCTCCAGCTCGAGGGGTGGCCAGAAGCTGGAAGGAGGGAGACTGGACCTGAGGGCAGAGGGAGGGGTGAACAAAGAGGACAGGGGAGAATGCTTTCTCTCCTTTCCACATTTCTGGTCAGAAAATTCTTAATTCAAACTCTTCCGTGAGAGTGGGAAGCTGGACCACCAAGGGGCCAGAGACTGTCCCTCAGACCAGACTGGCACGGTCTACATGGCCTTGGAACTCAGGTACCCGGCTGCTAGGGATAGGGAAGGGGCCGTGACAGGACAGATGGGAGAGCTGCTCTGTCCCACAAAGGAGAAAACAAAGGAGGTGTTCTCTGACAGATCCATAGCCATTGGAAGAGAAGGCTGAGGGAGACTTCTCTCCTCCACTTGGCCTGGATGCCGTCACGCCTGCATTTCCCCAGGATGAACGACAGTCTTTTGGTGGAAGTCTAAATTAACTTTAAATTTGTACTATTCTCAGTTATTTGGTATTTTGCTGTTTTTGTTATAAGGTACATCTGTCAAAGTAGGTTGGTATATCCTTTTGTAATAGCTTATTGCCTTGATTTATAACCTCTTAAATAATTAGCTATCTTGGATCCCCATTTGTCCTCTGGCCCAGGCCATGCAAGTTGTAGGACCAGGCCTGGCAATAAATCATCATGTAAAAAGGTACATCTTCTTATGGGTCACAGACAAAAAAGTTTCAAAGCCACTGACTGAGGGATATCAAGTTCACACTCCTCCGCAGTGTGTCTGAGGGCCCTGATCCCAGGTCTCCCACCCCAACTGTAACCCACATTGTGTCCTTCGCTCTCACCAATGCAACTGCTGCCATATTATTAGCCTGCATCCAGTGCCCTGGGCCTCCGGTGCCCTCCCCCCAGCTCCTTAGTGACAAGCTCTTAGGCAATTGTGAAGACCCACCTCAATCCCGTCAGCACCCTGCCTGGCCCCTTGCCTCCCAGAGCTCCTTGCTTGCCCCTCAGTTACTGCACGGTGTGGAGTCTGGCACAGAGACCCCCACACTGTGTGTCAGAGAGATGCAGGCTGGGTCTGGTCCTATTCCCAGCACTCACTGCGGCATGTGGCACTGAAGAGTTATTAAAAATGTGTAGTAGGAATTAACACACGAACAAATGGATCTGTACGTTAACAGAAGGCTATAAATAGGTACAGTGGCCAAACATTCAATAAAATGCCTCCTTTGAGATGTGAAAAATTGTTTCAAAAAACTCTTATTCCTCGGACCATCTTATCTTCTCTAGAGGTAGCCGGTCAATATGTAAAACGTACGTGTAGCGTGCAGAGAAAACATCTTCACAAATGAGTTAATGACGTCCGGTATCAGTTGAAAAACAAGAATGTTTTTAGAGTTCTCAGACACAGTACTGAACCTTCAAAAAACACACAACTACTCTATTATTAATTAAGACTTAATAGTAGAGTTAATACTATCTCTTTGGGGATTAAGGAAAGTTGGTCCTGTGGTAGAAGTTAATTCATATTTCTCAGATTTTACACACACAAGACAAAAAGTAGGTCTCTACTGTGCTATGGACTATGATCATCTCTACTTCTAAATCCTCTTTTCATAAGTAAGTAAAGTATAGACAGGATCAAACAAAAGGCAAGGGTGAAGAACAATTCACACATAATACAGATTATACTAGAAAGGCAAAAAGGGATGGTCCTTCATTCATTCCACACCACGTGTGATGTGCTTATTTTCAGTAGTATATTAAGCTAGATAGCAGGAATATAAAAATGCATGAACTAAGGTTATGTGGAGTATAAGATACATAAATAGAATTATGTCCACACAGACACCCATTGAACCCCTTGATTCCATACTCACATCTAAGTAAGCTTAACGCTACACAACTAGCTGCTTTGGCAATCGCCAAAAGTTGGAGAATATAGCACACACTGCTACAGTCTTCCAGGTCCTTTCTCCACTTCTTTATTTTGGAAATAGATGCTCTGAGTTTTCGATGGGCACATAAGCTGCCTAAGTAAGACAACCTTTCCACAATATCTCCTAACTCTCTTGTAGCTAGTTGTAACCACGTGACTAAGTTCTCGCCAAAAGGATGCAGGCAGAAGTGATGTGTATGGCATCTGAGTCGTGCCCTTCCACGGAGCTGCATCCCTTTCTTCTTCCCACTGGCTGGAATGTAGATGTGATTCCAGGAGCTGAAGCAGCCTTACATCACGAGAGAGAAGCTGGTATCAGAGTATCAGCCTTTTACCAGCCCTCGTACTGAAGGTACATACACACTGGTAGCACCATACCAATCCTGTTACCATGTTTAAGCCACTATCATTTTGGGGCACTTGTAGCAATACTAGCACA